TTATCTATCAGTTTGTATGGCAGCTACATGTTATAGTGGCCCCATATCGGCGGTTTCGACAAATAAGCAGCTTCTTGTGAAGAAAATTACCCGTTCAAAATGTCAGACGCATAACTCAAAAACTGATTTGTAATGAAGCAATTTTTTAACATACTTTGAGGCGCTAGTTTCCTAAGAGAAACATTATTAAATATTAAATATTTTCCCTTTCAAAAACCACAAAGAGTTGCATGATTAAGTTTCATTTCGAAGGCGAAATGCCCAAAATGTCATCAAAAAGTAATTAATAACGGCAAACCAAATAACACAATTCACATGTAATGTATAGAAAAATATCGTGATGAACGATTCAGCCCTACATTAGTAAATTACTCTGTTGATGCATGTAGATATGTATGAAAGATAGTGCTTAGAAAGTAATTATATGTAGTAAATTCAACGCTAGCAACTACTAAAGACACTTATAAGGTTGTAAGCATAGAAGCGCAAGTTTTTCCAAACACTTAGATAATATTTTTCACAGTACTCTGAAGAAAACCATTAAATTTTAATTAATCATAAAGTTTTTGAGCCGTACACAAAGGAAATAGATTCGTAGCGTGAAAATTCAACACAAAGCAGAAGATAGTAAAATTATGTTTGTGTAGTGTTAAGTACTTTTTCTTATACACGCTATGTGTTATATGTAAATCTTGGGCAAGTTAGGCACCATTTTATTTTCTGAACACACAAAATACTTTGCTGCGAGGCATCAGGTCACACATATTTTTCATTAACTGAAAATTATTTAAATAAATGCTCGTCATTCAACGTGTGACGTGAGTTGAGTACAGGTGATGCCGAAAATCATTTATTATCTGTGGGAAACCTTACACATATTCTTCTAAACAAAGATAAGATTTTGTAAAACATTGTGTGTATATGTTGTGTTTACTGCTCTTTCTGCCACCTGAAGTTTTACAGAGTTTTCTGCATGCTTGATAACGATTAAGCTGTCAAGACGATGAATGTGCGAGCATATATATTTTTATATGTATGGTATATATACATATTTTATATATAAAGAGGAATAATGGCAGAATAAAAAAAAATATTTATTATTGTCTTGCAGAAATGACATCAATCTACAATTTTTTCTAGAATCAATACTTTTCAAAACGCTCTCAAAGTGGTTTTTTGGAACGTTATAATTCAGTCGGGTTAACCAACACGGATTGGATCCAAGTTTTCATCCAGTCGGGGACTCTCGCTTCGCCAGCATTGTTGAAAATTATATAGAGAGAGTTTTTTGTCGTCACGCCAACTCTTATAACTTAACTTGCCATGAGCAGACAAACTTTCTCTTGATCCTGAAATACTTTGAAGAAGTAACCGATTACTCTTTAGAGTTTAAATGCAATGGGAGAAAGCTTCTCTTCTTAAACATTTTTGATGCGAAATCTCAAATGTACTTATATAGGGTTTTGAATGAAAATACTTCCATATTTATTGTGTTTTTGGTATAAATATCTATGTCTATGTACTCAAGTGATTTATCATTTGCAACATGGCACTCCATCATATCTAATATGTTACACAGCTAAATAGAGTGTAAAAATAAATTTATAGAAAAAATACATAAACGCTTCTTAAGTATATACATATGTACGAGTATGTATAAGCATGAAGCGTAAACATGAATAAACATCAGAAGTAATTTGCACAAACAAAAGACTCAACTTAAACGGCAAAATTATTGCATACCTCAGTACACACACATGTACGTATATTGGTGTGCATGCAAGCGCTTGTATATGTGACGCAGCTAAACATATAACAACAACGATTAATCATTTGAACAATTACAAGCGGGAACCAAAAACAGTAGAAATCATGAACAACAACAGTTCCAGCGCTGTGCCGCCGCCAACACAATATCTCAAATGCGCCTAGGTGGCAACGTGTGCGTGTATTATCCGCTGCTGTTGTCCAGTATTTGTGTTTGTAATAAACCTTTTTTTTTTGATCCTCTTTCCCTATTCAGACATGCATTTGTGTATATTAGTTAAATATTGTACTAAAGCAGCAACTCACATTTAATTCCAATTGGCTGTTGCATTTTAACCAACCCTCAACCAAAATACACGCACACATACATGCATGTGTTCCGTTGAGTAATTTAGCATTGCTGTACAACAACGTCACAGTAACCGCACAATAATAACAGCTAAAATATAATTTATATGACTTTATCTGGTGCAGTTAAAGTAAGCGCTTTGCTCATAATAAAATTTATATCGCAAACCATGAACGCAGAGGTTGCATTATAATAATAATTTTTTTTTTTTAATAATTATTATGCAAAAACAACGGCCGAATGCTAGTTACCCAGTGAAGAAAATAAAATTGAAATTTTAAGCTGTCGGGTGACAGCCTATGCAGATGATGTGATTGTTATGGTTAAGGAAAATTCCTGAATACCGTCTATGAGCTCACCGAAGGGTACCTAAACGTGATATTCAACTGAGCGAATAGAAGCGTCCTAGCCGTCAACCCAAGTAAAACCAAAATGGTTTTATTTACTAGGAGGTATAAGATATGTTGATAAGGTGAAATAGTTTGGGCTTATCCTTAATAGAAAGCTTTCTTAGGGGCCAAACATCGAGGAGAGAGTTAAGAAGGCATCGGTCGCCTTATATTGCTGCAGGGGAGCTATAAGGGAAAGGTGGGGACTCTCACCAAAGGTGGTGTTCTGGCTCTACGAAACCGTAGACAAGCCAATATTATTCTATGGTGTTTGTATGGTGGAGGACGTTCGAAAGAACTACTCTGGCTAAAAAGCTTAAGCGGGTCCAAAGAGAGGCGCTCATCGGGATCTCTGGTGCACTGCGAACCACACCAACAATAGCTCTTAATGATATTTTAAACATTGCACCTGTGGACATTGCTGGCAGGTGCATTGTTGCGAAGTGTGCTAAAAGGCTCAGAGAAGCTGGGCTTATGAAGAAGTCCGAACAAGGACACGCCGAAATTCTTTCTTCCTTCAGCACCATTCCTGAAAATTCGAATCACTGCGCCACTGCGGCCACTTGGGGCAGCTTCTTCTCTGCTCATATCCCGACGAGGGAGATGTGGATGGGAAGAAGCCGCAGGAGAAGAGGGGCAATGAGTTTTTTACGGATGGGTCGAAGTTATAAGGGAATGTTGCAGGGTGGATTTTCTGTAAAAAGCTCTCCGTCAATCGTAGCTTCAGGCTACCGGACCACTGTAGAGTTTTTCAGGCGGAACAGGCTTCGATCAAGGTTGCGGTAGAAGTACTGCTACGAAGTGTAACCTCGTTAAGGGAGGTGAGCATGCGTTTTGGCAGCAGAGCGGCAATACTAGCCCTGAGTGCGCGAACCGTGCAATCAAAGCTAGTCAAGGAATGTATGTCCTCACTAGAGTTAGCATCAAGCTACTTCGAGATCAGGCTAGTTTGAGTGACTGATCACAGAGGAATCGCTGGCAACTGCAAAGCCGATCGACCATCTAACCTAACCTAAACTTACCACATTGCGAGCAAAGGCTCATAACTAAAGTGAAAAACTATATGATAGAATATTGAAGAGTGTAAATCTCTTATCATCTGAAACTACTGGGTGTTCCATATCTAAAAAGTGACTTAGAAATAAGATCATCCAGCCTTTCTTTAAAAAATGCAAAGCTATAAATAAATCGCTCGAAAAGTCTAACTTTATACACATCCATTTAATATCGTGAACAGGGTATATTAAAATAGACACGATAAAAGTTCGGAGACCTTGTGATCGATCAAAACCAAGTCCTTACAATGAAAACTTTTTTATTTGACTTGATATCTCCGAGCAAGGTATTCTGAATAGATCACTATAGCAAATAACTGCCAAACAAACTTTTATGATATGCACCTGAAAAGGGTATTATAACTTCGGTGAGGCCGTAAAGTTAATGTTTTTTTTTTATTCACAATAGCCACTTATAGTCTGATTGTATGGAAGATTATATCACCGATTCGGAATTATATATTATTATAAATTATTTAATACATTTTCGGTTTAAACCTTTGAAGCTAGATTTTGAGCACAGTTAGGGCAATAAAGCGGATTATGAAAAACATTAATTTATATTATAAAGTAAAAGTTTAAAATATTTGTAGTTATTATTTATTTAAAAGCTTAAAAAGTCTTAAAATATTTTCATAATCAAGTTTATGTTCTTACGAAGAAGAAATAACACCTTAACTCCTCGATCTCGACTACTGCATTACTTGTCGTATAATGGTAGTGATCGGTAAGAGACAAACAGTATTTGTTTAAGAATAAGCTGGTGTAGGAAAAGGAGTTTTTCCACTGCTGCTTTATAGTGGAGCTTTACTATCAAAAGATTTGAAAAAAGCTCGAATTTAAAATTCTGGTTTTAGTCGTGGAAAGTATGATTCTTTCTACTGGGTATATTGTGTGAATCTGTGTTTTTTTTTTTGTAATTTTTACTTGTTGCGATTATACGGTACATATGTATAAGTATGGTAGATATGCATACAAATGTATATACCGTAAGTCAATTTTTGTTTCTGTTTATGTTTATACACTCGCAACGAATTTATTTGGCAAATTTTTATCTTTTTCTCTCCCACACTAACAGACGCTGACTCACATATGTACTAGTCCGTTATGTTGTGCCTTCATTTTAGTACTGAATTATTAAAATCTATGCACAATTTAATCCCTAATTTATTATTGCATAATTTTTGAAACGCGTGTGTGCCACCATATAAACAATAAATTGTATATGTACATGTGTATATTAGTTTAACCAAGCAAGCAGATAAACATTATTCAGCATTAAATACGCGACGTGCAACGATCAGCGCATACACAAATTTAACTGTGAAACGTTTGAGACGCATTTACATATTTTATAAATGAATTTATTAATATTTTGTATTTTGTGAAATGTTATTTTGACTCTCTCTCTCTCTCTCTTTCTCTCTGTGTCTCTTTCAGCTTGGCACTTTGGTGCCCATTGCTACACCCGCCCCACCGACTACAGTGGCACCGCCAGTGCGCGTTGATATACAATCATCGAACCTGCTCAATAATCTGCCGCCGTTATTAAATACGCCAACGGTAAGTGGAAACTTAAATTATCCTTTTATAATATAATAAGTACAGTAATCAATACTAGTATATAACTACATGTTTTGGTTTGAAGTGCTAATAGTTTTGTTGATAATATAAAAACGTATATGTATATTACAATGAGACACTAGCAAAGAATGCAAAGCATGAATAAGATTTGTGCTACACGACACATGATACTCTCATTAATTTTTTAATAGCAAAAAGCTTAGTAATTTTTTTTTTTATACGAAATGTGAAACTTATTCTGTGACTTAATTATAAAATGTCAACACACTACGCTACTGTACATAACCTCACTTACATATTCGCACCATACTCTCCTACTACTCACCCATGCTTGCCACTACACCACCACTTAAAGTAATGCATTACACCGAAGAATTGACCAATGATTACTTGTGCCATGCACACAACTCACCATAATCATTTGCAATCAGAAATTATTTTTATAATTTTTTATTATTTTTTTTTTTTATCTTATATTATATTATTTGTATTTTTTTATATATTTTTTGATATTGCTTTTCATAATTTACATCCCCTGCAATTAAACTGCAACCTTCTGCAAAGAGTCGTCTGCCTTTTCATTGCAAACTACTTACTTTGTTTATTCTCTTACCTTTCTCATGTCTTCCTCTTTCGAGTCTGTGCAAAATTTATTTGGCATTTACTGTTTTTATTCACTTCGCTTCTAAATGAAAATAAGTTTGCAGGAAAGACTAAAAGTTCTGCTTGAAATTCGCTAAGTCGATTTGAAAATTTTCTTCTCTTTTACACATTTTTAGTTTGTTTTGTAAATATATATTTAAACTTATCTCTGCGTACTTTATGTGTACAAAAGCTGTTGTTTGAAAAAATCTTTTAGAGGGCTTTATTACTTAATTTCTTTTTTTTTCATCTTCGCTTTGTTTCTCATTTTAATGTTTTTGTTGGTAATTCTTAAATAGCAGTTTTTTATGAAAAATACTTTATCTTGATATAATTTTAGCTCAAAAAGTGAATGCGTCTTGGTTTTTATTATCCATTTTAATAAAATTATACAATAAAAAAAAAATCTGTATGAGTATTTAAGAATTGAAAATATAATTTCTTTACTTTTTAAGCACTAAAAGATTGGTTTGTGTTTTATATACATTTGGGTCGTTAAAGAAAAAAAGGAAATAATAAGATTTAGAAAAAAATTATAAACTGCTTAATGTAGCCTTCATTGGTTCTTTCTTTTACAACTGAAATGAATGGAGAAAGTATGAGCGTAAACTTTAGATTTTTAGTGTTTTAAAAAAAGCTAACCTACTCTTTTTACTGAGCTAAACTATTAAGCATTTACCACCAAATCTTCTCAGAAAAAGAAAATGCCACAAACTGATATTTCAAACAGAAAAGCAGTTTTTTTCGTATAACTCTTCAAACAGCACGCTTATCCTCTGGAAAGAAACTCATAAAAACCAAACGAGCAGCTCACAATATTCCTTCTGTTAAAAAGGTAAAAGCGTTAGTATGCTAATCAAATGTCAGTTTGACAAACATTTAATTCAAATATTAGGAATACACTTTTCCCCACTTTAGGTCAAATTTAGACGATAGAGTAAATACGAAACTTTTGAATTAACTGGCTAATAGCTAAACTTTTGAATACATTTTGAATATTTCTCTACTAGAAGCAAACATTGCATATTATCACGAAATATTTATATTGTCAATGATTTCAATATTCCCCTCTCAACGCTACATTTGCCACATAAAAATGTGTCTCCGAAGCGATTACTTACAGCGCTCTATCGCACCGCAAACATTTTTCTATTAATCCTATTTCAAGATTGAAAATTGCTTCTCCGGTGGAAAAACATGCATTTACCTATCGACATGTCAAGGGTCATGCTACTAAATTACCCTTAAGTATGACAAAGGCAGTCAACTTTGACTATGTGCTAATTAAATTTTCCAAATCCCATGCATACCAGCATACACACACAGATATGTCGATAAGCTGCGCCTTCCTCATACACAGGCATAATCAAATCCATACTAATTTATTTTAATAGGTCAAAAGGTTAAACCGCAAATGAGAGAATTGAATGGACGTAGCATAAAACGTAATGTGACAACAATAAAAAATCTGAGTTAAAAAAGAGGAAAACCTTTGGGAAAAAAACGAATTGAATATTGTCAACAGTGGCGCAGTGTATAAATGCATGTGCACTTGTATGTGTAAGTGTGCATAGCAGCACATGAGTATATACAGCGAATACAGGTGAAAGCTGAACCCACAGGTGTAGTAAAGGGCACAAGTAGCTGGTTTTCAGAATGAGTTGGAGGGAAGAAATCCGTTGAAATTGCCACTTAAGCATTTCCACTTGTCAAACCTCAGAGCGCTTTGCTACTAATGGGTTATAAGCCATATCGAATACTAAAGGAAGTGAAAATACTGTATTTATTTCACTTTATAAAAAATAAAGTTATAATTAGAAGCAATAAATTATGCACAAATAAATTGGATTATTTTTAGCGAAAGCTCTAATACGTAATAGCTCTAACAATTACTTAACTTTATTGAGTAGATAATTATTCATCGTTGAACTACTGACTGTTAAAAGAAATTCATTATTTGAGAGTTATCAGAATCCGAATATATAATTAAATATATTTCTCGGTTTTAGAAAAAATAGTTATTGGTAGCCTTCTTATCCGAAAATTAAGTAATAAGATGATATTAACGAGCTCCTAAATTTCTATTTTTTATCTTGAAATGCAGAAAAAAAGCGAATGAGAAGAAATCAAAAAAAAAGTTATAGAATATTCTTGTTAAACAGCAACTCTTTTATACCAATTATCTACCAAATTACTATGTTCGGAATTCGGTGCGTATGTGCACACATACATTTCCACCCAGGCACTCAAGGGGGACACAATTTGCATAGATCGTCTAAGAAAAAAGATGCTGACAGCGAAACTGATATGAGAAGAAGCAATATGTTAGAAGTGAAACCAAAAGCTAAGCTGTTGCACTAGAATTCTAGGTACTCATAAGATATACTCGTATATATGTATATACTATGTATAAGGCCATGTACTGAAGGTAGACGTAGAAAGAGTCATGGAAATGTGCCCAATCGAGGTCACAAGTGGGTATAAATGCTAAATCTCATAGGTGCGAAGGCAAGAATTGAGCAACAGAAAACTATTAGCTTTTTTCTATACACCCATACATACATACATACGTATTGCCGCTCATTTCCGAAGTAGTCAAATGCAGCGGAGAGTTGAGGTTGTCCTCATATAGTAACATTGTTAAGTGGGTAAAAATGGTGTTGAAACCAAATTGAAACTTGTTTGCGCTCAATTTGAGTTCGGGTAATTTAATTCAATGCAAAATTTATTCACCTCAAATGTTTGGCTAGAGACAAGACAAACACACGCACCCGGAGGTATGCACAAGTGTGCTCATGTGTGTGTTGCATATAAATCCAATCAAGCCACTTACATAGCTATTGTCAATGTTTCACCTACACTGCTGCACAAACACTTGCCGCTCGTGTCTAACAAAACCATTATCCTTTGCTGTGGCTTCTCTTCTTTACCCAATCAAGCCATCAACTGTACTTGGCTTGCTTTTTCATCAGCTTTCACTGGTCAAGCTGAGTAGTTTTTTTCGGACGATTTTTTTTTTAGAATCTTTCTTTGCTTTTGCGTTTATCTTTTCTTCGCATTAAAATTTTATGAGCATGAGTATCGTTAGATTTCTCTCACTGCTCACTCAAATCACCTTTTTAATTTATTAATGCTGGATCAACCTTTTGTGTGCTTGTTTCTTCACTTAAATCGAAAGTTGAGCTCGTAGACTTTCTTTTAACTTCCTTAGTACTTTCTTTAAGGGGTTCAAGTAAAGGTGAAAATACATTAAAATCAATAGCTATTAAATTAAATTGTTGTATGTGTGTCTTACTTGAGCATTTTTGTTGAGTTTAGAAAATTCAAAGCTTAACCATTCTTATAGTATTTTATAAGCATAGGGAAGACTTTTTTCTTAGTTTTCATTATTATTTTCCAATACCAAGTTTTACCGAAAAATGCTTTGACAAAATTATCAAAAACTCATAGCGGTTCGTCTGATGCAAGCTCTCGGGTTTCTAATGAAATTTTTCTAATAGGAATTTTCCGAATTTGGATTATGTTTTGTTACAAATTTAATTAGTAAATGTAGAGTTTTGTGAAATTCATTAACAACTTCATTGGAAATACTACCTGATGCATTTGTACACTATTACAGTATGCAACAAAACAAAAAGTAAACAACAACAGCAACAAAACCAAGCATATATATATAAAACATACCAGAAATAAATTCTAAAACACGCAAATCAACTCAAAACTACGAGAAACTCACATTTTTCACAACACAATGAACTCGAGTCACATTTTAAACGTACAACAACAATTAGCATAATTTTTAATTAAACACTTTGAATGCTAACATGAGTTGGCAATATTAAAAGAAGAAAATTTGATATTAAAAATGTGTATACTAACTATATTCTCTGCTATATTCCACGGCCAATGCAGTTTACAACGGCGCCAGAGTATGAAACGGTAAATATGAATTACGTGAGATGAATGTAATATATTTAAAAAAAATATTAAAAAGTTATATTTGCTAACTTTGTTGCTTTTTAAGCAGTAGTAATTGCTGTTGTTGTTTATTTTTGTTGCAATTGCTGCTTATTTTGCACGTTGTTGTGGCGCTAGACAGTATTTAATCATTTAAAAAGCATTTATATGCTTCAACAAAACGTATTTTTCAGCAACAGCATCTTGAAACGCAATCAAATAAATTTCATGCAGACTCATACATACAAACAATTTATTATTTTTAACACAAATCATATATATGCAACATTTTTGTTGCGATAAAATAATGCGAATTTAGTACACAGCAGCTTGCATACCAATGACTAACAATTTTTTCAGCCATTTTTTGTGTATATTTG